GAAGGTGGAAACCCCCCCCAAAAAACACTGCTTTTCATTCATTAATTCTTGCTAATGGAATAAACGACATTAACACTTTGCATTGATGCAAAACACCTACTTTATATTAGAGTCCAAAGTTCCTAGATGTTATTTGAAAACTGGAGCTTGCCAAGGAATCTTAAGACTCAGATTTAAAACACAATTTAAAGCTCACTGGAAAAAAATGATTATGTAATTATACTGTGTTACGTTCACTTAACTTTGCACATACACCACCTGGCATACCTGATTATACGAATGCTCATTCTGACCTGCTTTTTTTTTGAATGAATAAAAGAATAAGTGATCACGCTTAATAATATTATTTTAGTTGAAAAAAACAATTGCTGTTTGGTTAACAAAACGACAACGGCAAAGTTTAAAGACAAAGGCAAAGTTTAAAGAAATAAAAAGACAGTTAATTAGTATTTTGGGGATCGCACTGTGTATTTTAATATGTCGTAAAAGAAAATAAACAGGAAAGCAAGTTTAAAACTGTATAATTATGTTATTATTTAATTTATTGACGCATATGTTGAGAAACAGAATTGTTTGTATTGTAAATATATATTTTAATGTATACTAATATTTAATGTTTTATTACAGCTTGAAAATGAAGCACAATCAAAATTTGAAGCACAATCCATTTTTCAAATTATGTTTTATTATTATTATTTATATTATTATTTGTTTTATTATCAACGTATTATCATGTGTATTATTATTAATAACATTATTAATATTATATATATATATATATATATATATATATATATATATATATATATATATATATATATATATATATATATATTATTGTTATTATTATTATTATTATTATTATTATTATTATGTTTATTAATAATATTACTAATGTTAAAATTATTATTATTATTATTATTATTATTAATATTGTTATTGTGTATATTGTTATTATTATTATTATTATTATTATTATTATTATTATTATTATGTTTAATAATAATATTACTAATGTTAAAATTATTATTATTATTATTATTATTATTATTATTATTATTGTGTATTTTGTTATTATTATTATTAGTGTGCATATTATTATTATTATTATGTTTATTAATAATATTACTAATGTTAAAATTATTATTATTATTATTATTAATATAATTATTGTGTATATTGTTATTATTATTATTAGTGTGCATATTATTATTTTTATTATTATTATTATTATTAATGTTATTATGTATAATGTTATTTATATTATTGTGCATATTATTATATATATATATATATATATATATATATATATATATATATATATATATATATATATATATATATTATTGTGCTATTGTCTAAATAAAATTTTATTATATTTGAAAATATTTTATTATTTTAAAATTAGGCATTTTTTGGTAGTAACTTTAACAAAACTCAAGATTACCTCAATAAATATATTATAACATTTAAAAGTTCAGCTTATTTCATACTTTTGAAATTAGATTGAAGATGGTCGAAAAGAAAGACTCTCATGACTCTCGTTCTCATTATTTATACGTTTTTATGTAGCTCCAAACACATTCCAAAACAGATAACAATAAATATAAAATTTTGCCTTAATATCCTTCAAAAATTCTGATGAAAAACATGGGTTTGAGTAAATAATGATTCATGTCTGTATGAACTATTTCTTTGCTCCAAGGGCTTATCCTCATGATACGTCTAATTGTATAAGAAATCGAAATAAATAATAATAAATAAATAAAGGTATAGGGATGCGTAACTGGAGAGATTTCCTGTATTGCTCTTTCTATTCCCCCCATCATGCCTGCTTTTACAGAACGCTCTGAGTCCAAGTATAACTGAAAGCACTCAGACTGCTCTGTGTTGTGGTTTTCTGTTTACCGAGCTGGAAATTGGTGGCTTTCTCTTTTTTCAGCAGTACACTGCGAGACCACAAATGGGTTTTATGGAGAGAGCTCCAGCACATTAAGCGTGGTGGGGTGGCTGTATGTGGAGTGTGTGTGTGTGTGTTTGCTGGTGTTTGATTGTGTTTGTGTCTGTGCGTTTGCGTTTGTGACATGCGCTATAGATGAGTTGGATGATCTAAATTGTCTGTAGAATATGAGTGTGTGTGTCTGTGTAAATATTGAGCGTATGGGTGTTTCCTAGTACTGGTTTGCAGCTGGAAGGACACTGCATTAAACATATGCTAGAATAGTTGGCGGTTCATTACAAAAAATGTACGCAATAATTAGTGAATGAGACCAAATGTCTTCTCAACTTGTCTGCAGGACATTACAAAACTCATCCAGGCCTCAGATGTTACTGTAAAGCGTGAAACTAGAAGTAATTCATTCAATGATTGATTGTTTGATTGAGTCAATGATTCAGTCATTTATTGATTCATTCAATGATTCACTAATTAATTAATAGTTTTTTTGGGGTTGGTTGGTGGATGTGGTTGGTTGGTTGATGTGGTTGGTTGGTTGGTTGGGTAGTTGGTTGGTTGGTTGATGTGGTTTATGTGGTTGGTTGGTTGGTTGGTTGATGTGGTTGGTTGGTTGATTGGTTGATTTATTGGTTGGTTGATGTGGTTGGTTGGTTGATTAATGTGGTTGGTTGGTTGGTTGGTTGGTTGATTGGTTGGTTGATGTGGTTGGTTGGTTGATGTGGTTGGTTGGTTGATGTGGTTGGTTGGTTGGTTGGAAGGTTGGTTGGTTGATTGGTTGATTGATTGATGTGGTTGGTTGGTTGGTTGATTGATGTGGTTGGTTGGTTGGTTGGTTGGTTGGTTGGTTGGTTGGTTGGTTGGTTGGTTAATTGATGTGGTTGGTTGGTTGATTGACGTGGTTGGTTAGTTGATTGATGTGGTTGGTTGGTTGGTTGGTTGGTTGGTTGGTTGGTTGGTTGGTTGGTTGATTGATGGTTAGTTGGTTGGTTGCTGTGGTTAGTTGGTTGGTTGATGTGGTTGGTTGGTTGATTGATGTGGTTAGTTGGTTAGTTGATGTGGTTGGTTGGTAAATGTGGTTGGTTGGTTGGTTGGTTAATGTGGTTGGTTGATGTGGTTCGTTGGCTGATGTGGTTGATGTGGTTGGTTGATTGATGTGGTTGGTTGGTTGGTTGGTTGGTTGGTTGGTTAATTGATGTGGTTGGTTGGTTGATTGATGTGGTTGGTTGGTTGGTTGGTTGATTGATGTGGTTAGTTGGTTGGTTGATGTGGTTGGTTGGTTGATTGATGTGGTTGGTTGGTTGGTTGATTGATGTGGTTAGTTGGTTGCTTGATGTGGTTGGTTGGTTGATTGATGTGGTTAGTTGGTTGCTTGATGTGGTT